TCAGGAATTCTGGGAGTTGAAGTCCATAAGTGATAAAAGAGCCAAGTTTCCCAACCCTGTTCTAGGGGGACACATTCTAATTTCAATGTTGCACTTAGGAAAATAACTTGGTGTAATAAAAAAAAGTTATTTAAAAGCTTATCTGAATTTTTTTTAGAGGTGTTGAATTTAGAAATATAATGCATTGGATACACAGAGATCAGTAATGTTTTTGTAGTAAATATATTGATTTTGATGGTAATGTACTTATCTGTCTGGTTTTTATGTAGAAATTGTTTTAGAACAGCTAGTTTACTGTATTACATTTTTAATATAGCATTGATGAGACAAAGCCAAAGTAAGATCCATTCAGGAAAACAAAACATTTGAATAAATAAATAAACTGTAGATTGTGCTTAATATAAATAATGAATGAGTGCAATTTGCTGCTGTTGAAAAGCAGGAGGTATATGAAAGTAATTACAATTGGTTGTGGTTTTTTTTAGTAATAATAAGGCTGCAATTGTGATTTTTAATTTCTATGACATATAATACCTGCATATTGCTTTGTAATATAAGTCTAGTCATAATAATTTTTACTTTTAAATTTAGCAAGATGTTAAAATTATGTGAGAATATTTATCATAATTATGTATTCTTAAAAGCTGAATGAGTGTTTCCTATTCAGTAACTTATTGTTCTCTTCAACTATTTAATGATGTATTTATTTATTTATTCATTCTTTTCCTTATATTTAATTGGAATCTACTTTTGTATAATAGTTCTATTGCTTCACATCTTGCATCCTGGAATGAAAGAGATCTTGATTGTTTTCCAAGTGCTTGGAGAATGTGATATCATATACTTCATCATTCTTTGGAGAATGTGATATCATATATACTTCATCATTCTTTCCTTCTTAGGGCTAAATGGTTATTTAAATCTCTTCATAAGGATTAGTTGCTAGTTCCCTGGTCAGTTTTACCATCATTCTCTGAATCTGTTCCACATGACTAAAATTCATTTTAAAACCTGATCTCCAGAAACTGCATTTGCCACTTTTGTACCCAAATCATACTGCTGACTCACATTCATTATGTAACCAGGTTTTTTATTCCTATATTCATGTCACAAATATTGTTGCAAAGCCAATTATTCTCTATTCTTATCAGAACTGAATTTGGTGAGGTAGGAACCATTATCTTCCCTATCTTGAAATGTTATGGTTCTGTCTTTGCCAAGGACAGCCTTTGCAGTATTATATCTGCATTTGATTTCTGTTTTCTAACTGCATTAACCTGCATTTGTCTGGGTTAAATTTTATTCTGTTAGATCAGCCTGTTTATCTAACCTGTCAGAATAATTTTGAATGCTGTTCCTCTCTTCTAGGTTATTTGATTTCCTATCAGATTTTTTGTGATAACTAAATTTGATAAGGATACTTCCTGTTTCCTCATTTAATAAAAATATAGCTCAGGATTGTAAATTCTCACCGAATTCCTAAATCTGCTTTGAAAAAGAGCCATTGATAAATTTTCAACTGCATTCAGCTTCTAGCTTTAGAACATTATTATACTCATGGTAGAAAATTTTTCAGTAGAAGTAATGTAATCATATAGCAGCTTACAACTATATCCAGAAATAAGTTCCATCTAATTCACTTGTAATATTTCTGTAATTTGTTTTCTGGAAGGATCTATAATTATCTGAGAGTATTAGGGGAGAAAGGAAGATACGTTTTAGCCAGTGCTTGAAAGTTGAAAGCCACAGTCTGGCCTTTACCTTTATTAAACCTGATTCAAGTTGTAAGAATGCATTAAAAACACAACAAAACATCTGAAATACCACCCTGAGGAATTTGTACTGAACAAGTTCCAAGGGGCTAAAGCTAGAAAATAGTGCCAGCTGAACTTTACATGTGAACTGAACCAGAGATTTAGCATGAAATATTAAAGCTGTTTCTAATTTGGGAGGAATCAGTTTAAATCTTAAGTGGGGTATCTGTAGATATGTGATATTTCAAACATTACAGTATGTATTTCTATTGCTAGCAATGAAGAGCTAAAGGAAATATTATATTCACTGTAAAATGAAAAGGGTATATAGATAGTCCTCAACTTATGACCACAATTGAGCCCAAAATAACCATTGCTAAGCAAGATTGAGTTTTTCCCCCTTTTATGACCTTTCTTGCCATAATTGTTAAGTGAATCACTGTAGTTGTTAAGTTATTAACACAGTTGTAATCTGGCTTCCCCATCAAATTTACTTGTCAGAAGGTCGCAAAAGGTGATCACGACACTGCAACTGTCATAAATATGAGCTACTTGCCAAGTGGCTGGATTTTGATCACATGACCATGGGGTTGTGTAAAAAGTCATAAATCATTTCATTCAGTGCCGTTGTAACTTCAAACAGATACTAAACAAATAGTTGTTAAGTCGAGGACACCCTACAATGAAGAATGATACCCTTTGTCAGAATTCTTTGACATCCTATAATTGCATCTTGTGTTTCTTTATAGATTGTTAAATCAACATTTGGTTTTTTAAACATTTTATTGACATGAGGCTGCAATAAAGCTGGTATTAATATGTATTGAAGTAAAACTTAATTTGGAATATAGTATTTGGTTTTGCAGTACTTTTCTAAAATAGCATTTTAAAGATAATTTAACCTTTAACATTATTATTTTGTGCCTAAACTTGGTAGACATTACCAACTAGTAATTTAGAACAGATCAGAGAGCAAATAATTGTCATTGAGATATGTACCTCAGTCCAATGTTAAGATTGCCAGGCAATCTGTCTAATCTATCATTTGTTGTTTTCATTTCCTTACAAACAATTCTGAAGTCATATTTATAAAACTAAAATAAACTATCAAAATCTTTTATCTCCCCACTAATCACCATAATAGCTATTATTTTGTGGCCTTTTAACAGTCACCTTGATTGACATGGAACTAAAGGAACCTATTCTCTGAATTTGAGAAAGAAAACACGTTTTCCTTCACAAAGAGGTTTTTTTGGTCATTTGAAAATACAAATCACCAAGTAATACAGGCAAAGCAAAATGTGTTTATTAAGGGGAAGTGTCAAGTCTTTATATAGGGTACAGAAACAAATGATACATACATTGGGTATATGTGATATGTCAGAAATCAACAAAAAATGATTATATGTGAGTGAAGACAGAAACCCTTAAAATATATTGATCTTCCCCTTTATTATCTGTGCTTGTTTCTTTAATACTTGCAACATTCAAAGATTGAAGGGCTCTCTATTGTTTAGTTTATGAATAGGCTAATTATTGTGGGTAAAAAAGAAGTGGATTTGGTTAAAAAGGAAACTTCCTGAACTTTTTTTTTAAAAAGCATGGATGTCATTCTAAAATGCTGTCACCTTTAATTAAAATCTAATAATAAAGTCTAAAATTCAAATTAATAATTTGAAATGAATGTATATTCCTTAAGTGCATTGAAAAAGTACAGTGCATATGAATGGAGCAACCCATTTTTAAAGCACTAGAATTTATAGCCAGAAGTGTCCTTTCTGATTTAATTCAGAGTTCTGTTTAGGCCTGGATTCAATACAAACACTCCAGATTAAATACAGTCTTATTTCTATCCAGACATGACATATGTTAGTTTTTGAGATGGCAAGTCTGTTAGTTCATAAGTAGATTAAGTACTTCCTTTCTTTAACTTTTTGTTTTAATGATGAAACTGTAAATTCAGATTATCTGGGCACTGTTCTTTTATTATCAATGGGCTTTTAACTATTAATATTTCTTCCACATTCATTCCATATTTACCAGTGTGAGTTACGTTCTTCATTATTTATACTGCTATTTCATGCTGAAAAAATTTAATGACCTGTACTTCATATGAGTGATATTATACCTAGTTTGATATTAATCAAATCAATTTTTGAATTGGAAAACTTTTAATTGCTATAAAGCTGTGATTTAGTAAATGAAACTAAAATATTGTGTAATTAATTTTTCATACATTTTCCTGAAAATTAAAATAAGTTTAAATAAAATATTTGATTACATTATTTATAATATATTATTTATTTTAGAATATTAAAGTCTGTGCAGAAATAAGCATTGAATATCTACTTTCCTTGTGATATCTTTTCATAATAGTGGAATTTTAACTTCATTAATTTTAACTACATATTAGTAGGATTGAGATTACTTTTTGAAATATTAATATGATCCTATGATTATTCAGCTTTTCAGTTTTATATGCTACAATATTCTATACATTTTTATATAAGAAAATGAAAGAACTGTGTAAGTTTTGTAAACCAAAACTGAACTGGTGATTCATTGATGACAATGAGGTCTTTAAATTAACAAGTCTTAACATATTTTAATTATATATCATTTTCCATATTAGCTCAATGAAAGATTCCAGTAGCTGTTGTTGTTATTGTAGAAGCAATTAGTTAATAGATGAAGAATATGTAAAGTTTTGGAGAGTTTCTTATATTTTTATACAATGTTCCTTAATTAACCTAATGCCAGATTTGGTCGACCTGGAGTTGAATGCTACTGCCAACATGATAGTGGTGCTGCAGTAATCCAGCTTCAGTTTTTGATCAATGAGGTTTGTAAGCTTATGGTATAACTCAGATCTCTTTCCTTTACTAAGGGATTGTTTTTGTTTTTGGTAGATAGATAATTCAGAAACTTATTCTGTTGTAGTGGGTGGCTAGTTGCTATCAATGGTATATAAAAAAGAAGAATTTGCTGATTTGCTTTATTAATCCCCCCTCAAAATTAGGTAAACACTTTTTTTAACTTAAAAGTTGATGTATTTAAAAATTAGTTAAAATTAGTTAATTGTGAATATCCTCATCTGTTCAAATGTTATTTTTAACAGAACACTGAATATTTAAAATCCTTAGATTATGTGTTCTTTCCCCTCTTGGTAGTGTTTGCTTGTGATTGTTTATGTGTTTATTTGTACTATTTTTTATTATTAAATATGTGTTTAATTATTACAGTATGTATGATAAAATGAACAGAAATGACTCTGCCTGATCGAAACAATAAGTTGTAGGCATTTCTGTTAGTGTATACACTTGGGTAAAATGGCAAATCATATTTTGTCATTCAGAGCTACTTTTACTTGTACACTGCCTCTTTAAGCATACAAATAAAAGAGATCAGAAGAGCTTTGTTTTTCTGACATTCTTTTCAAAGCTATTATGAGATTCTAATATTAAATTATTGATTCTAAATGACATAATTAAAAATAAATGAAATGGATCTAGCCACTTTGTATTTACAAAACCAATAACTTCAAATATATTGATTTTACCCTTCAATTGCTACTATGAAACTGGTCTTTCTAAAAAGGACAGTGTCCCTAAATCTCAACAGATTTTAACTATATTTTTCTCTTTTAAGGGTGCCCTTGTGAGTGCCTTGGCTGATGATACCTTACATTTATGGAACTTGCGTCAGAAAAGACCAGCTATATTGCATTCCCTGAAATTTAACAGAGAAAGGTAAATAAATAAATATACACATATGCACACACTCATACATTTATTGTTTTCATGTTATATGATTGACATTAGACACTTTTCAAAAGGAAACACTAGGATTCCTAAAAATCCTGGTAGACAGTTTGGACCCCTCAGAAAAAAAAATCTCACTTACATATGTCTGATAAATCCATAAATAAGATGAAACCAGTCAAGTGCAGCCTCCTGGTGGTCATTATAAATAAAAATACTACACATGTCTAAAAATAGAAATTTTTCTCCACCCCCAAACGGGGCATGGAAGTAGTATAAAACCTCATGAGACATTGGCATATGTAAGATCTCTCTGGTTTGAATGCTAATGGAAAGGAAGGTGGATTATATATTCCATTCTAAGATGAAAGAATTGTAAAGATATTGACTTACAACTCTTAATGAAGAAAACTCATGGATTCTGAAAAGTATGAGCTCTTTTCACCAGAAACAAATATTTAGTTAATCCATTTGTAATTTGGATACCTTCTTAAATTGGCATATTTGCTCCTTTTCTATTTTTTAAATTGGAATAAAGGCAAGACAGATAACAGATAATCAGAGTTGGAAGGGACCTTGTAGGTCATCTAGTCCAACCCCCCGCCCAAGCGGGAGACCCTACACCATTTCTGACAAATGGCAGTCCAATCTCTTCTTGAAAGTCTCAAGTGATGGCGCTCCCACAACTTCTGAGGGCAAGCTGTTCCACTGGTTGATTGTTCTCACTGTCAGAAAGTTTTTCCTTATTTCCAGGTTAAATCTCTCCTTGTTTCCATCCATTGTTCCTTGTCTGGCCTACAGGAGCTTTAGAAAATAGCTTGACCCCTTCCTCCCTGTGGCAGCCCCTCAAATATTGGACATAAAGACATAAATACACTGAATTGTTATTCAGTATAAAAATTATTATTCAAAACCAATTTTCAGAATTCCCATTAAAATGTAAAAAATAAAGGTTCAAAAGATGCAGAAACTAACAATAGTGATAATGTATCAGATTCAGAAAATGAGAGTGATAAGCAACACTTAATTGCAGCAAAATGTGTTTTCTGAGGTGGCTTACCTATCTCTTTCTCCTGAAAACTGGTGCTTTCTCTCTCTTTGATACTGTTGACAAAATATTACATATGAAGGCATGGGGAAGGGCCAGACATTAGCATAAAAAGCTCAATATGAGCAGTGCCTGTTTAGCAGCAAGAAGTTGCAGGGAGAGACAAAATTATCTTTTCAAGAAGTCAAACAAGGCCTAGTGTCAAGACACAATTTATATGATATTCTGGAAGTTGTTCCAGTAGTTTCTAACACAGGTTTACATATTAAATACTTATTATTGGTCCCAATCAAACTGACTGACAAAGTTTGGCTGTTCAGGATAATACTGTGCTCCTGAAAGTGTTAAGATATCTTTCCAAGCAGCCTGACAATGTAGATCAACTGTTTGCTCTTGTCTATGGAGATTCTCAGTCATCCAGGACATGGTTGTCTTAAAGGTGCTTTTTCAAAAGGGAAGTGGACTTTGTTTATTCCTGGAGGAAGATGTTTCACTTCTCATCCAAGAAGTTTCTTCAGTTCTTTTGAGCTAACAGGTTATGCCTTTTTGATGAGATCAGGATTAGACAGCTGGGAACAATGGAGATACCTTTATTAAGGTCTAATCTCTGGCTCCTTTGGATCAAATTTAACAAAATTAATCACATTTTCCTATCTACATGGAAAAGGATGATGTGTGCTATAATGATGGAAAGTTGAAAGTATCCTTTATCAGCTTTGAGACTTTTTCATTTAGACTAAAATTAAAAACAAGTGCAACTTGTAAATGTTTAGTGAGGTTATGGTATTTCCTTCCTTTTCATGTTAATAGGTTGTTCATTCTTCAATCTTAAGCTACTAGATCAGGAAGAGGAATTAGCTATTTACTCTCTGTTTTGACCTTCCACACTTTAGTCCACATAAGAATGTTAAGTAGTTAATGCTTATTTGGTGGCCCTAGTAAACAGTTTTCTAAGCTTTTCCTGTTCTGGTTCTGATTGCTGTTCTTGCTGCTGCTTGACTTCAGTAAAATCAACAGGCTGGAAGCAATTGCTTCAATATGGGGGTGGGGGTGGGGGAACAACTTTGATGTCCAACTAATGTTGAACTAAGCATTACCAGATTTGGGACCATTGTGATATACAGATAGAAACTGGGCATGGATTCTCTCTTCCTCTGCCGTTGGTGATGATTCTACAATTCTGCAGTTAGGATAATCAAGGGATTAGGGCAACTGCTTACTTAGTGTCCGTGAGGTTGTTGGTAGACTACAGGTTTGTGGGAGCAAACAGTATTTTTGTGATTGCTATTAGGATTACACTGTTAGAGTAGGGAGTAGTTGTGTAATTGCTTATTAGTAAGACAGTATATATTGTCTAGATAGTGATAAGAGGTCTTGGCTTACAGATAACCAAATTCAACGTTGCATAATCTTAGCTTGTTCCTTAATGCCAATGTTTTGTATATTTAGGATTAGACAAAAAAGAGTACACAAAGATTTTCTTGTGAAATAATTTAGTTGTTCTCCTTTTATTTGTAACAATTCCAGTATAAAATAAGACATTTATCAGAGAATATTAACTATGCAAGGAACATTTAGTCAAAGCATACAAACCAATCTTCAGTTTCCCTTGACTTTTGTCTTCTGAGGAATACAGTGAACTATTTTATGGCTAACTTCTCTACAATATCAATTATTAACTATCTCCATGCTGCCATAGGTTTGTTTCTGCTGCTGTTACATTGTATGTTTCTATCTTAAATGAGCTATTGCTATGTACATAGCTACTAAATTCTCTATAGCAGGGGTGTCAAACTCACGTCGTCATGGCGGCATCACGTATTGGGACTATATTCCCCTTTGCTAAACCAGATGTGGCCGTCGCCAGCGTGTGACGCATCCAACCCATGGGCCGGGAGTTTGATAGCCTGACTTTATAGAGTTAATCATGGCTTAAGGTACAGTTTAGTCAGTAATCTCTAATTCTAGTAAAACCATTATTATCATTTTGTCTCTGGATATTGGTGCATGATAGCAGAATCCTTGTCACATTAACTTCCTCTCTGGTGTATTAAATCACTCAGGAAGGTATGTCTCTTCAGCAAACTGATACTACTTAAATCTGTTTGCCTGCTAGCCATTTTTGTTTTTCTTATTTCCTCTGACTCCAACCACTTTTTGACAGCTCCTTAACATGTTTCAGTTTCTCTTGCCAAGAAATACTATGCTTATGAAAAATGTGGTTTTCCTCTAAGCTGTTTCCCAGACTTAAGCTATCACAAGTAAAGTTTATGTGTCTGTCTGATCATGTAACAGGATGGTAAACAGCATTTATCTTCTCCACTCAGTCATACTGTAGCTCTATTCTCGTAGATAATCACTTTTTTTTCTTGTTTTTTCCCAATGGTGCTGCTAATGTTACTTCGTCTTTACTATCATTTCACTCTCTATAAATTATGGCTACAATACTTTATGCAGTTTGTGGACATCAGTTATTAAAATCAGTAGGGCATGCTTTTAAATAAAGGCACGATTGTGTTAGAATATTAAGGTATAAATCTCCACTTGATTATGAAAGTCAGTCATGAGCCTGAGCAACTTATTGCCTTCAGTTTGGAAAATATGTATATATAGTAATTGATTATATATTATTAGAATATCAATTGACAATATCTACCTATTATTTTTCTTCAGTGCCAATGATTAAATTGTAATTGAACTATTTAGGATATATAGCATAATGTTATTATTGCTGTTTTCTATATGTACCTAATTGTACTTTTAAGTAGAAGTTGTTCTGACCAAGGCTTCCTGAGATACCAACAAACACACGTTAAATCCAAAACCCTTTTATTTTAGTTCAACAGCTATGAATTATCGTCATTCACAGCCTGTAATGAATCTCAACCAGTTATAAATAGTCCCATGGAAATCTGCCAAAGTTCTTCGGGAGAAGTCTGATAAGAATGCACCTTTATCTTACTTTACTAAAGTACCAATTAGTCTTTCAAAACCAAATGGAGCACAAATTCACCACAGAGCTTTCAGATTCCAAACAGACCAAAGCAAACAACGTTGCTTCCTGCAAAGGTTCCTGTCCCTTTGCACTTCCTTTATATCTTATGGGAGGGGCAATTACCTCCAAGCCTTACTTCTAAGTCGCCCCTTTTGTCTCAACTGCTCTTGCCTTCTGGCAGCTCTGCGCACACGCACACTGGGAACATGCTGCCCTTGTTCCTCTGCCTCGCTGCTGTCAGATTCTGGAGGCTCCGAAGTCAGCACATAACTCCCAGATAGCCCTGGCCCCATCTCTGTATTGGATGCAAGACCATCGTCTGAGTCCTCCCCAGACTCTAGCACTTGCCCATGTTCTTCCCCGCTATCCAATTCTGCTGCTGTCTCCGCAGGCTGCCGGCGGACCACAATAGAAATAGCTGGGATTGGCCTTGAAATCATTTGAATAAGAGTTCTAAATAGTTAATGTATTTATTTTATTTATTAAATTTCTATATTGTCCATCTCAACTAAGTGCTATTATGCAGTTTACAAATAAAAAACATAAAAAGAGACATAGTTAAAAACAAAATTAAACAGAATTTGAAAATTATAAAAGTTAAAAAAGGCAGAGGGATTGTCTTCGAGCTGCCAATCACCTCTAGAATTGCATGCAGTTCTTAGACCCTCATATCCTACCTGCTTGATGCCATAGCATATCCTACCTGCTTGACTGGGTGGGACAGGTCAACAAGTTCCATAGGTAGCCCTATGTAGAGCACATTGCAGTAGTTTGTACTGGAAATTATTAGGGCAGGAGGGACAGAAAGAAGGACTTCTCGATCCAAGAAGGGGCACAACTGGTGCAAAGTCATTCTAACCATAACTGCATCCAGTTTTTGGAGCAGGAGCGGTGAGTCCAGGAGAAACTCCAGGTTGCACACCAGATTCCATATGGAGCAGTGTA